CCCCCAAGTCCCTGGTAACCATCATATTCTCTACTTCTATGAGTTCAATTTTTTTAGATCCCACATATAAGTGAAATTAAGTGGTATATTTGTGTTTCTGTTCCTGGCTTATTTCACTTAATATAATGTCTTCCACATTTATTCATGTTGTTGCTAGTGACAGGATTTCTTCCTTTTTCAAGGCCGAATAACACTCCATTGTGTATATATGCATTTTCTTTATCCATTCATCTATTGATGAACACTTAGGTTCATTTCATCTTGGCTAGTGTGAATAATGCTGCAATAAGCATCAGGGTGCAGGTATCTGTTTGACATACTGATTTCCTTTACTTTGGATATGTACTTAGTACGGGATTAATGAATCCTATAGTAGTTTTTCCATTTTTAATTTTTTTAGTAACCTCCATACTGTTTTTCACACAGGCTGTACTAATTTACATTCCCACCAACAATGTGCAAGGGTCTCCTTTTCTCCACATCCTCTCCAACACGTATTATCTTTTGTCTTTTTGATAACAGTCATTCTAACAGGTGTGAGGTGATAGCTTACTGTGATTTTAATTAGCATTTCTCTGAGGATCGTTGATTTGAGGTACTTTTTCATGTACCTGTTGGATATTTTTATGTCTTCTTTGGAGAAATGTCTACTCAGATCCTTGGCCAATTTTTAAATTGGGTTCTTTGTTTTCTCATTGCTGAGTTGTTTGAGTGTCTTTTTTAAATTATTATTATATTCACCCCTTATTGGATGTATTATTTGCAGATAGGTTGTCTCTTCACTCTGTTGATTGTGTCCTCAACCATGCAAGAGATTTTTAGTTTGATGTAATCCCATTTGTCAATGTTTGTTTTTGTTGCCTGTGCTTCTGGATTTGTGTCAAAAAAAAAAAAAAATTGCCCAGATGAATGTCATGGAGCTTTTCTTCTATGGTTTCTTCTAGTGGTTTTACAGTTTTAGGTCTTATATTTAAGTCTTTAATTCATTTATAGCTTATTTTTTAATGTAGCGTGAAATATTAGTTTTATTCCCCTGCATATGGATATCCAGTTGTCCCAAAACCATTGAGTGAAGAGAGTGTTCTTTGCTAAATTGTGTGTTCTTGGCACCTTTGTCAAAAATCAGTTGAATATTGGCTGGGCATATTGGCTCATTCCTGTAATCCAAGCACATTGCGAGACTGAGATGTGTGGACTGCTTGAGGTCAGGAGTTTGAAACCAACCTGGGCAACATAGCAAGCCCCTGCCTCTACAAAAATAAAAATAAAAAAAGTTTTAATTAGCGGGGCATGATGGGGCACACCTGTAATCTTAGCTATTCAGGAAGGTGAGGCAGGAGGATCCTTTGAGCCCAAGAGCTCAAGGCTGCAGTAGGCTATGATAGCATCACTGCATTTCAGCCTGGGTGACAAAGGGAGACCCTATCTCAAAACAAATAAACAAAACATCAATTGACCATAAATGTATGAATTTATTTCTGGGCCTTCTATTCTGTTCTATTGGTCTATGTCTGTTTTTATGCCAGTACCATACTGTTTTACCTATTTGTATTTTGAGAGACAGGGTCTCACTGTGTTGCCCAGGTTGGCATTGAACTCCTGGGCTCCAGCAGTCCTCCTGTCTTAGCCTCCCTAGTAGCTGGGACTACAGGCATGTGC